TCCGGAGAAATTGCGTTGGCGAACTGCCATTGGGGTCTGAATCACAGCTAGAAATTCTAGACCCCAAAACAATAAATTTCTTAGTTCGTAATATAAGTAATATTGAGATAGCGACCACATCCAGTGCACTGGCAGGATTTAGAAGAGGGCCAAGGACACTAAGTGTACATTTGCTACGCGTCGCTCGACTGACCATATTTCAATTGAGTTCCGAATTCCCAAGCTTATGATACGACATCCAAATCTACTCCTACCAGATGGTTGAACACGCACCTAAATCACCTCCCAGGTTGATTGCATAACAGCATTTACAAGGTCCTGTTTACCCCAATGTCACATGCGATAGCAAATCAAAAGCCAGCCTTGCCCCTGCGTCTCAATCCAGACACAGCATAATGTTTACATTAGAAAACGTGAAGGTATGTTTTTTTTCTACACGAAACAGCGCTTACATTATTGAACACCGGAGGTTGTTTTGATCGATGCATGTGTGCGAAGCAGGAGACCAAAGAAAATGCTGTTAAAAATTTTCCCACACAACACACGCTTCCATTTCGCTGTCTTTCGAATGCAGCTACGACTGATAGTGGAATCAGTCTGGACAGTGGCATTTGCATAATCTTTGCAGATGGATTCGTCTTAACGAAACCCCGAACAACAGCGAGGATTCAGCCTTCTTACAGCAAGCACACAGCTCGCTCTACAATTTATTCACATAATTTGCAAAAGGCGCACGCGTCGCCCGGCTTGTGGAATGGGCTACATCGTAACAACGAGAGGACTTACTGCAGCACACGCTGAATGCCCTTCCCGCTACCCGGGTTTTTGCAGTCAATAAACTGTCCACTTTGCTTTTAAGTAAATGGACACATTAAGGCAATTTTTGGAGGAAAATTGCCTTCTGAAGCTGCAATTAGTGTGGTCATCACTCTCTGAACCCTCTGATATTTCGCTTTGTAATCTATGAAAACTGACAGTCTGTTCCAAAATCAGGGCATTTTCCAAATCGACACAATCGCAGATCTCAATGGCGCGTTTAGGTATAATACTCTCTCAGCTGGTGCGTCAGCTGCACGACGGTATGATGGCGCGAGTCACGGACAACGGAGCTGTCTCAGAGGCATTCGCAGTGACCAACGGGCTGAAGTGGGGATGCGTGCTGGCACCAACCCTCTTCAGTCTTATGCTCTATGCCATGCTGATGGACGCCCACCGTGATGAGCACCCCGGGATCCGCATCGCCTACAGGACGGACGGTCACCTCCTGAATCAACGGCGGATGCACTTCCAATCGCGCGTATCCACAACCACCGTTCACGAACTTCTCTTCGCCGACGACTGCGCCGTGAACACCACCTCGGAAGAGGACATGCAAAGGAGCATGGACTTCTTCTCCGCCGCCTGCGAGAACTTCGGTGTGACCATCAACACGCCGAAGACGGTTGTCATGCACCAACCGCCACCCAACACAATTCACAATGCGTCACAAATCAGCGTTAACGGAACCCAACTGCAAGTGGTGGACAACTTTACGGATCTAGGCAGCACCCTTTCCCGCAGCACGAAAATACGGGATGAAGTGGTCCGCTGGATTACCTAGGCCATTCAAGCCTTCGGCCGCCTCCAAAGCACAGTTTGGATTCGTCATGGTCTCCAACTAACAACGAAGCTGAAGATGCACAAGCCCGTCATCCTCCCGACGTTGCTGTACGGAGCAGAGACTTGGATGGTGTACACAAAGCAGGCACGCCGACTCAATCACTTCTACCTCAGTTGCCTCCGCCACATACTGAGACTGAGCTGGAACGGACTGGGATAGTCAGCATTTACACCATGCTGAGACAAATGCAGCTGCGCTGGAGCGGCCACCTGGCGCGCATGGACGACGAGCGACCACCCAAACGACTCTTCTACGGAGACAT